CGGAAGTAGACCAGAAGTACTTGCGGTCCACTTCTGGGTCAGCTGCAGAGCATGCGCCCTCCCCCCCCAACCCCCCCACTCCTGTGGGATGCTCTATCCACCATGGGGGGGGACTCTGGGTGCACCCCATACCCAGGAGACACCAGTCACTGAGCCAGGGCGTGGAGGGGCCCATGCACACTCCCCAGGAGACCCGGAAGTGGACCAGAACTGCTTCTGGTCCACTTCTGGGTCTGCTGCCGAGCATGCTGGGGACTCCCACGAGCTCCCATGGGATGCTCCATCCAGCCCAGCATCTCAGCATTCACAAGCCACCTGCTACCTTGAGGTATGTAGAAAAAACATTTAAAGCTGTGTCTATGTCCAAACCATCGAATCTCTCCAGATTGCTTCAGAGGGTTTTGATTTGATTTGGAGAGATTAAAGGGTCTCCTGATTCAATTCAGAATCAGAGATTTGGCCGCTGAATCTCCGCCAAATCAAATCGGTGACCAAAGCTTTGCACAGTCCTAATATATGGGACTGGGATGGTATGGGCATAGGCATAGGCGCTAAGGCACACGGTTGACAGTCCATAGGCTAGAAGTTCAAGGCCACAGCAGAAGCACTCACAGTGTGACCATGTCAGCTTCAAACAAATCTGTGAATTCTGTTAAATACTTTGTCATAAGGACATGAGAAGGAAGGAAGGGGCATTCCTCAGATCCTATACTACCAGTACAGGATACACATACATGCACTCACACAGACATGTACATACATATGGATAATCAGATAACAGAAATTCTGTGGAGAGTATAATAAGATAAGTTGTGTGCTGTTTTTTTGTTGTCGGGCTGTTACAATATTGATGCAACTCTAAATTTGAAACTATCTTCCACAGATACATTGGGACATTTTAGGACCCAATTCAGAAGAAGTTTTATCTCCCCTGAATAGTGACATTGGTGACCCTGTGAATGGTTCATTCTATTTTGGAGAAGAAGAAGGAGGTCTAAGAACTATTAATCTGAAAATCTACCCTCATGAAGAAGTTGAAGTCCAAGAAACGTTCATTATTAGACTGAGCCTTGTGAAAGGTGAAACTGAAATAGACCAGAAGGCAGCCAACATTACATTACTAGTAAGGCATTCTTGCTTTTCTCCTGCCTTGGGATGGCTCCTGCAGAGCTTTTTCAATTTAATTCAATAATATGCCTCATTTGTTACTCGCTTCTTTCATGTCCTGTCCAGTTAGTCCAGCCCAGTGTTGTGGTTTCAGATCTGGAAGTATGGAGACAACAGATCCATTAATAAAGTCTGGGCCTCTTCCCTTCCAGTTTTCTTGGTTTTCTAAAACTGGAAGCATGGAATGGAGCATAGTGTCCAGACTCTTGATTTACCCTCTTCTTTCTTTTTTTCCAATGTCCTTTTCCTCTTTCTAGTTTTGTAAGTGAACCAAAAAGAGAAGACATCCAAGTACAAGAGAATAAGCAATATGGGTAATGGGCAAAAGAAAGAAGGTAGGAAGGGAAAATGCTTGTTTTAAGGAATTGAAGATTAAAGGGATTTTTGTTGGAGAGGAATGAAGCCTACAAGGAGGCAGCAGGAAAACTCCTTCCGCCCCCACAGAGTGAGGCGGTGTTCTGAACCAAACCCTTGCTTCCTTTAAGCCTCAGACCCAGATCACTACTGTGCAATGTCTCCTGGCTTCTCACTCAGTACAGATACCTGCTGTCTTCCATCTTTATGGAGGATTGAGAGAAGTGGACATTCCAAACTGCATTTCAAATTAAAGAGTGCAAAAGGACAGCAAAGTATTTTCAGGTATTTCATAGTTTCATAGTTTTAGTTTCTAGGGTCGGAAGGGACCTGAGCAGATCATCTAGTCTGACCCCCTGCCATGGCAGGAAGAGCACTGGGGTCAAATGACCCCAATAAGGTGGGGTCAGTCTTTTATAAAACTGTTCCCTCTCACACCCATTTACCGTGAGCCTGAGTTTTCAGAATGCATCTCTCCCGAGACTCTTTTTCTTTCTTTGGCACTTTGATCTCAGTAACTAAAGTTCAATCCAGGTTAGGGTCCATTTGTTTGGCCTTTCATCCCTATTTCATCTCTCCTGTCTTTGTGGAAAGCCAGAGATCTACAGTGAATTCCTACATAGTGAAATAATAAGTATGTGCTGACCAGTAGGAGAGCACCTTTTATTAATGGATTTCTGAGTAGTTCAGCAAAATTCAGTGTTAATTAGAATGATATTTCATTTATGGGTTAAACTGATTTTTTATTTGTTTGTTTGTTTGGGGTTTTTTTTTTGCAACTTTCCATTGAGATGTAAAGTGATGGTTATGGATAATGGCATGCTATTCATTTCCAGAAGACCCAGTTTTCAAGAGGTAAACCTTACAGCAATTTCTGCCCACCATTTCTGGGTATCCTGAGCATTTTTTGCCATTGTAGCTCTCTCTTCTCATGGAGCGTCTAAGAGCTGTAATCTTCTCTTTAGAGGACTGCATTGAACATCCACCAAAGGGACACTCATGTCTTCCCTCTCTCGCATCTTCTCTATCCTATCCCATATAAAATAAAGGATTGATGTTTTCTGACAATTTTTCCTTAGTCTGTTCCCACCTCCCCCAGTAAGAAAGAATTATTTGACTCCCTGGTTGTGTTTCTGGAGAGTCATGCTATTAAGTATATTATTTTAACATAATACACCCTGATTTCCTTATTGCAGGATAGGAAACTTCTGTCTGTAGATGACAGACAAAACTTAAGCTTGATTATCTTCATTCTGGAACAGTTCAGTCTGTTTTATTTCAAAGGTTGTAACAAGGAATTGGATGCCCTCAACAGTACAGTGGATTGAATTTAGTAGCCCATTGACCTGGGATCAGCCTGAATGCTTCTGTTCAGGACTTTTGAATAGCATCTGTTTGAGGCACTGCAGTTTTACACACAGAAGCATCCCATTTTTAAAATTACTGGGCATCTGCTCATACCTTTTGTGTGGAATTACTGGTTATATCTGTATTTTCTCCATGACAGTTGTTCATTAGAAACACCTGGAAACACCAGCTTCGATTGCTGTTAGGATATTTGACAAGACACAATTGTACACGGATAATTCTTCCGCCTGCCCCTCACAATTCTACGTTCTTCCTATGTTTCTTTCTGGAGAATTTTTCCCATCTGATTTTGCTAGCATCTCTGCACTGGAAGCCTCCAGAAAGATATAAGATAGCCTTGATTCTCAGATCTCTTGCCTCCTTATTTCTGGTAGCTGGAATCATAATGTCATCTGTAATTGTTGTGCTGGATGTAAAAGTACCTTTTAAACAAATAAAATTAACAGTAAGTAATTTTGCCTATCCAACAGAATAATAAATTAATGTAGTTGTTGAGGGCAGTTTTATCCTATTGACATCTCAAAGTGCTCTCTTAAGCAAAAATGGAAAGATAGAGTAAGAAAAAGGGCACTTCATTAAATCTGTAAAGCTGTATTATGTTGGCTGATGTCATAGCTGAGCCTAGTTTGTGATATCCTCCTTATTATAGAACCTGAAATCAGTGGGATTTAGGCATCCCTGCAGTATTGTAAGTCCTATCAGGTGCCTGTCTGCATCTTTGAGTACCTAATAACTTTAAATTTGTCATCCTGTTTGCCCAACTACCATTTAGTAGCAAAAATATTCACTAAGATTGGGCTGTATAGAGCGGAGAGTCAGGAAGGCAATGTGTAATTCCTGTTAAATGTGCAATATTAATTCAGATAGATAGATAACCTGAAACTCTGTATTTATCTACAGCATACCTGCAGAAGAGGCAGTAACACAGTGTCAACTTCTCTGTGCAGTCACAGAATTACTTAAATATTATTGATCTACTGATATCTTTGACAAATAATAAATATTAGTCATCTAGGGCCAGATTCTCTTTCCACTATTGGATATCTAAGTGGACTCAGGCATCTAAGCCTGTATACAGATGTTCATTTGTACTGGAAGAAATTTCTTTTGGTAGAAAAATAGCCCAGGAGCCAAATTGTACAGATGGTCCTGTAGTCTAGCCCTGGGGCTAGAGAGCTTCACAGCCAAGCTCTTCAGCAAGGAGATACTGGGCCACCCCTGCTCTTAGGAAAACATGTTCATTGACAGCCTGTCCTCCCCCCAATTGGCAAGGGGACAGGCTGTCAAGTGGCAGTTGGCAGCTGATGAAAAGCAGCAGCTGCCATAAACAGCTTGGGAGAATTTCCTGCTAGAAGAATACCTCTCCATCATGCCAGTCACACAACCCCCCTGTTTTTTCCCGACAGGAGAATAGCCCCATCCCTTGCAGTCTTCTGGGCTGGCCTAGAGAAGTGAGGGTGGGGGGTAGTGTGGGAAAGCTCCAGAAGCCTTGCAGCAGGGGCACAGCAGCCTGCATCACCCGGTGCTGCTCTGGCCTGACCCAGAACAGTGCAGGGCAAGGAAGGGGCACTTTCCCATGGTGGCAAGGCTCCCACGCCTCGCCACTGTGGCACAGCAGCTTGCCTTGCCCAGGATTGCTCTGGGTCAGCTGGGTGGCACAAAGAAACTGGAGGGGCTAGGAAATGGGAAGCCGGGCTAGGGAAAGCTTCTACATGCCCAGCTTCTAGTTTCTCCAGCTTCCTCTTGACTTCCTGCCATGTAACAGTAGTGTGGCAATTTAAAAGCAGTGGGCTGGGGTTTTCCCTGAACGTCACTTCTAGCCACTGGCTTTTAAATTGCCCACTGCAGTGAGGCAGCACAAGGAAGCCAGTGGGGCCAGGAACCAGACTGAGGAAATTTTCCCCAAGCCCTGGTCCCAGTTTCTGGCTTTTAAATTGCTGCCCTGCTCCTCACCTGGGCAGTGGTGTCAGCAAGGAGAAACCTGCAAGAACTACCAAAGTTCCCTGCCTGTTTTTGAAACCAGGGACTAGCCTGTTTGGAGAAGAGGCAGGGAGGAGCAGTGGTGGCTGCCCCCCTCACTTCTCAGTCTGCCGGAGGTGGGGAGCAGCCCCTCAACAGCTTCTCAAGATCAGGGTGATTCCTGTCTGGGGAAAGCACTGGAGCCTTTTCCTCAGCTCCACTCCTCCTGGTCCTCAGAAGGAGTTTAGCCAAGGGAAAGTATACACTCTCCTTGGAGAGTGTCTCAATTCCTGAGACACTCTCCAAGGAGCAATTTGAACCTGGTTGTTCCAAGGTTGTTTTTCTCCTGGAACAGCCATCTTTAGTTCAAGGAGAAATAGCCTGAAAGGCTATACACTTTTTGGTTTCTGCTAGGACAACAGCAATTCTCCCAGCACAAAGTCAATGTCTGTGTCTAGCCTAAGCTTCTATTTCCCCCTGTTCGTGGAAAGCTAGGCATCTACAGCATCTACAGCATTTTTTAAACATGCCATCACCCTTAAGATCGAGTCACAAAAAGCAGTGAAGAGAAGGATGCATCATGTTTTGTATTACAATTTTTCAGGGAGTCAAGTAGGGTGGAATGGGTGGAATAGGATCACACTTAGGTATCTGAGTCCACTTGTGTGTAGTGGGTTGAATAGACTCTGGCCCCTAGTTGTTATTTAGGAGTAAATAGTAAACAGTATTTAACTATTCCAGTCGATGAGTGGCCTCATGTACAGTTTGGTCATTGTTAGGGAAGCAGTGAAATTCAGTTCCCAAACCTGTTCAGTTTTCAATCTACAGATACTGAAAACAAGATGTCCTGCCAGCGTCTGCTGTGACTTCTTGTATGCCAGACGGTTACTAATTCTCTAGGAACTAGGATAAATCCACAGACTGCAATCCGCAGTGCCTGAGAAGTGACAATTTTTTACCATCAAGCTTTGAATGAGATACAAAGGCATAACTGTCACTTATCAGTTGGTATCCTTTTGTCAGTTTTCTTCAGCGATCCAGTCCTCAGGTGTTTAACCAATTATTGCTTTCTAGACCAAAGAGTGTAAAAGACTCCCACCCCCATATTCAGATCTTGTCACAACAGAAGAGAATGTTCTCATATCTCTTAACTCTTCCTCTTCATTGGATTTGTTTCCTAAACCATTTATCATTTTCTTGGTTTCTTAAATTCTGCCCAAATTATTTCTGATATTTGAAAAAAATGTGCTATTTGAAGGTTGAGTGAGTCTTAACTAGTGCTAAGTAAAACAGAGCAATTATCTGAATCAGTTTAAACATGACTTTACCATTATAAAACCCAGGAGCTTTGCTTCTTCTTGTCACACCATCATATCATTGATTCATGTGCCCTTAAAATCCACTCTTGATTCAGTGTTCCTTTGCTGTCAGCCCCAGAGGATTTTCTCCAGGAGGGTAGCTGCACTTAACTTTTTGTAAGGCCATCTGTTTTATTTGCTTGCACGTGACATTTTCTCCTTTAGATACCATGGTGGTTCAACTTGGTGTCTTTTTTTTCTCTTTATACAATCTCCATTTAAGCTGCTACTGTACTCTTAATCTTTTGGAAGGACAGTCGGTAGAGAAGCGTTAATTTTGAGTAGTTGCATCCAGTGGCAAGGCTCCAGCGCACAGTGTATTAAGGTATTGTGTGATATATAGCCTATCTGTACTGCATTTGTTGCTTTCTAGATACAAAAGTTTGGTGATCCCAATGGGATTGTGCAGTTTGCTCCTGAATCATTATCTGAGAAGAAGTTTGAAGAGCCATCATCATTGGAAGGACCACAGAGTATTACATTTGTCATTGAACGAGTCCAAGGCACTCTGGGAAACATAACGGTATTTTTATTCTTATCTGGGGGATTATTTATAAACACTGTATTTTGAAGTTTTATCAATATAAATGCCTGGTGCAGACCAGGAGCTATATAGAGTTGCTTATAATACAGCTAGCTTTCAACTGCTTGCTTCTTATTCAGTCTGTTGTGTCACATTTGGAGGAGGGAATCCTATTGAACAAGAGATCCGGCCCTCATACTTTCTGTTTGGATGTCCAGTTTCTATAATGATGTGAAAAAAATGTGAATAATCAATGCACATTGTATTGATCTAGCATATTCTCTCTTCCCTTCCACTAGGCTTTTAACAGGAGAACTCAATAGGATATATTCTTATACTAAGCTTTGTTGGAGAGGACCATGTAAATTATTTTCTTTCTTTCAGCTTCATATCACATGCAGATAAGAACTGGATCCTATATTTGAGTAATGCTAATTATTCAGACACAGAGGTGCCCAACTCCCTTATGTTGTTCAGAACTCAGCAAGATATGTGTGGCATTATGGAATGGACTCCCTTGTTTGTTTGCTTTATTGTAATTATAAATTCTACAGAATGTTTTATGTATGTGTCAAATGTGCTCTCATTTGACAGCAGTTCTTTTTAGAAGGAAAACATTTTTGGTCATTTTAAACAGACCAAGACTGTGCCCCTTACAATAAAAAATATTTGACCATTTTTTTTATATTTAAAGTGCACTTTTTTTTTCCTACTATGCAGTATCTTTGGAGTGTTCATGAACGTGTGTTCTGCTCTTAAACTGGTGCAAAGATTTCTTGTCTATAGAAAAGTTGGGAAATTTTGGAGGGAGAAAAACAACTGGAGAATCCTGATCAGTTAATACTCTTTGTAATTGGACTCAAAAAATCTATAAAAGTTTGAGGTGACCCTGTGAAGTTGCTCAGAAACAATCCCCACATTCATGTCACTAGAGTTTAGGGGTGGTGGAAAGCAGATTATCTTCCTCTGTTCTGTGTATATTTCTTCCTATGTCAACACTGAGCGATAGCTGTGTAGCCTGAAATCTGGCAGAAGGTAGCTCAGGGATGCATCTTAAAGACTAACTTGTTCAGAAAGTCATGGGCTTTCATAGGCTGCAGCCTACTTTCTAGCATCTGACAAAGTCTTTAAGGAGCCACCTTGCTCTGTCTTCTGTATAAACATTAAATAATATATATTTTTTTGTTAAAACTGGTTTGTGTTATATATCTCATTTTCTGCTTTCCTATGTGCCTGTGTTCTGATTGTTTTGGCAATATTTTTACTTGTTTTAGATTTACTGGGAATTGAGTAGTGATTCTGACATAAAGGATGACTTCCTTGCAACAAAGGGATCTGTCTTCATTGCTGACAAACAGAGTACAGCTGAGATCATTCTTCACCTCTTACCAGATGATGTTCCAGAATTAAATGAGACTTATATGCTGCAGCTGATTTCAGTGGAAGGAGGAGCAGATTTGGATCTAGAGAAGGGCATTACAAAAATCATTGTCTTTGCAAATGATGATCCCCATGGAGTATTTGCTTTGTACTCTGATTGGCAATCAGTATTGGTGGAGAGGGATTTCAGTCGACACATTCAGATTAATGTAACTAGGCACGCTGGGGCATTTGCAGATGTGATTGTTGAGTACCGAATCTCATCTCCTCATCAAGAACTATTAACTGCTCCTGAGCATGCAGTGGGACATCTATTGGTTCAAGACAGTGCAAGTTTTGGAATGAAGAGAGTGCCAATAAGCAGTCAGGTTTGTAGGATCCTTTATTTCCTTGACATTTTATTGCCCAGTTAAGCTCTGTTGAATAGTCTGGTGTGGTGGTAGTGGGAGGGGTGGCTTTGATTTTCTGCTGTGTATGGACAGACTTGTGCTTAAAGAAAATGTGGCTTTTCAAAGTTTGGAGTATAAATCTATGGTTGTGAATATTTGTACATAGTCTGCTCCTCCATCCACGTATATCATTCACGTTTTCAGTTTTAGATCCTGGCATGTAGATCCAAATCCTCTTTCTGCTTTGGGGTAGGAGCTGTTGAAGGAAAAATCCTGCTCAGTTTAAGGAGATCGAATCCGCCGTAGCAGCTGCAATAGCCCTCAGAGCTGTTGTGGGATAGCAAACATATTAACCTTTTTAATATTCTACACTCACTTCCTTAATATTAATATACTCTGGGATTTATATTGTAGTAAAGCCTGAGGGCAACATCAAAGTTGGGTGGCATTGTATTAGGCATTATGTAGATATATTAGAATGGACACTTCTTGTCCTTAATGCTGTAAAAAGGTGTTGCTTTTGAAGTGTGCCTCATTGTCCCAGGTTTTCACCTAGTTTAAAACTGGTGGGTCAGTCACTTATACACGTTGCTCTTACAATGTGTGTTGCTGCCCCCGTGCCAGGAAGTGGTGTATGAAAGTGCGCAGCCTGGCCAGTTTGTTCCTGGAATGACCCGCAATAAGGCTACGGACTCACACAGCCATGCCCTGAGAAAAAGCATCAGCATATTTTATTAAGAGACTTGAAGTGGGACAATGCACCTGCATGTCAGCAGGCTTCTAGGACATAAGGCTTTCTTCTTCATTCACAATATGAACATTTCATTTAGAAGAGTTTCGAAAGATCTTTGTAAAACTGCTTGTTACCATAGCTGTACTCTCTGAATGGTGATGTTACAAGAGCTGTAGACAGTTACTGCTACTTAACTCTTTGATTCAATGCATGTACTTACTGTTTTTAATAGTTTGAAATTGCTAGCTGCTTTTACTGTTGTTGTTTAAATTCTCTCTTTAAAGGTGTTTCTTTTACTGGGCTCAAATTTTACTCTGGAACTAACCAATGCAAGCCTGGTTGATGGAAGTGCCAAGTATGTGCCTAAAATATTAGCAGAAGCAAAATCAGTTACTCTGTCTATCCCTGAGGAAGCTGCCAATCCTCAGGTCAGTTGCAGTACAGTAAGATTTCCAGGAGAGGGTGGCTCAAACCCCATTGTGCTACAGTCTAAATCAGGGCTTCTCAACTTTTTTAGACTTAAGGCACCCCTTAGAAAAGGCCAGCTCTTCTTTTTTACTTTTATTTTTTTACTACAGAAAAATAATAGAGCAATTCACTGTTGCAAACTCAGAAAGACCAGAACAGGTCAGCATTTTTTTTTGACAGTAGGCATTTCTATTTGAAATTTCTGGGTTTATCTTGTGAACAGTGCTGATATTGTAAGACACCCTTAAAAGGATCTCATGGTATAGATTTTCCTCAATTTATGCAGGTTCCATATATGCAAATTTGCTCTTATGCGATCACCCTTTTTCGACCCAAAATAGCTTATATGTGAGAAATTCACTCTTATGCGATCAGGGCCCTGCTTCTCCCCATTCACCCCAGCCCCTGGGCTGCACCATGGCATGGTGCAGGCAGGTGGTGTCAGTTGCTCCCAGGTCTGCTGCAGCAGCTGGGATGAGCAGGAAGAAGTGGAGCCCCAGGAGGTTTAGAGCACAGTGCAGCCCAACAGCTACAGGCAGCTGGTGTCAGCTGTTCCTGCAGCCACTGCAGCAGCCAGTGGGATGAGCGGGGAGAAGCAGAGGCCCCCGGGCTGCAGCAAGGCAAGGGAACTGTGCGTGGGTACAGGGTGCAGGACAGCAAGGGACCTCATCCTAGTACTGCTGCCACCACTGCCTGCCTGGAGTGCCGGGAAGAGCCTGGTGCCACTGCTGGCCCCAGCCTTGTTTGCAGAAATGAAGTGGCAGCACTGGGAGGGGGGCTGCTGCCACCCCAAAATTTGCTGTAGCCCCCCCAACCTGCCTGCTGAGCACTGGGGAGAGCCCAGCCTGCAGTGGCAGCCTGCTGTTGTCCCACATGCAGATCCAGCACTGCCTCCCCCCACCCAGGGAAGAGCCTGGCACAGCCCCCCAGCCCGCAGCTCTCCTGGGGGGCATGTAACAGCAAGACCTGCACAGCCCCCCGTCCCATGCCCCGTGCCCTGCATCTGCTCACAGTTCCTGTCGTTTTGCTGCCTGCTGCAGCCCTGGAAGCTGCCAACAGGTTGCACTGCACCCCTCCCCTTCCCTAGTCCCAGCCTTACTCCCTCCCTCACCACCATGAGAAAATATCCTTATTTGTTACATTATAAAGTGGGTTTGCTTTATACAAATTCAATTTATGCGCCATTCTCTGGGAATACGCGTACCGCATAAATTGAGGGGAACCTGAACCTCGGTTGAGAGTTACTGGTCTAGACTTATGTACTATATTTAGATTATACTAATATTTGTTTGATTTTTTTTTTTTAATTTTTATGGTCAACATCAAAGTCATGGCTGTCTGTCCTCCCTCAGTTGTTTATCATATGTTTATGTATAAAATTTTGCCACTCCTTAAATCACAACACACTATTCCTAAGTATATCAACGTTTAGTAGATTTTTCTACAAGTATCTGTCTAGTCATAATGACTTCAGGAAATTGCCAGTGAACTATAATAAAAGTTCTTATAGTTAATATACTCCAGTGTCTGCATGTAACAAAAGTGCTAAGACTTTTAAGGGAAAGTGATGATTCTATATGCCATTAAATCTTAAAGACTCAAAGAAATGCATACAATTTCTTGCCATTCTTTGACACTGGTTGCCATATAAAGTTCAATATGATTAAGTTTTTGTTGTATGGAGAGTCAAATTCAGCTTTTATTTCCTTCAGTGTAGCTACACAAGAGTAAAAAAGGGTAGAATTACTCCATAATAACCTACTATTTATGCTACAATTCCTTTTCAATATATTGAACATAAGAACACTAACATGCTATTGTGTACTTTTTAAATTTCATTGACATTTATATTAAATGCTTTGAAATAATTTATCTTGAAGGCCATTTTCTCCTTTTTTCTTTCAATTTGCAATTTAACTTAATTGATGTGGTCTGTCTATGAGCCTTGTTTGTCATATGGATGCCATTTATATTCTCACCTTTAGATTGCAAGGCTAACCCTTTTTAGCCATAATTACAGTTGAAGAAGAAAATTACAGTAGCAAGTTATCTTCTGAGCAATGTTATTTGACAGTGACTTTCTTTTCATCAGATGCCTAGTTGCTCATTAGTTTGGGGGGGGGGTGTATACATTCATAAACCCCAAAAGCTCACTGCTTTCTAGGGCAGTCAAGGAAGGGTTAGAGATTCAGGCATTTTTTGTGCAGGATGACATTTTGCAGACATGGAACCAGAGCTGAGTCTCAGGAATCCAATATTTAGATTTGATAAATGTGTATGAAAAGTGTATACTATATTATAGTACTATAATAGGTTAGGCTTGCCTACTATAATTAACAAGTTAAAACAGAATATATGCACACATGTACTGTCTACTCTATTTTAGGTAACAAAAATGTGTTATGTTTCTGTAGGTTGGCTTTGATTCTGTTATTTTACGACTTACAAACATTATAGCAGGGACAGGTCAAGCTGTGGTAACCAGAAAAGGAATGTATGGTCCTGTAACAGTTAGCTGGACTTCTGGATACCCACATGGGTTAATCCCAGAATTTGTTCATCCAGGCAATATTATACCTGCATTTGGTAAGTACTTGTCTGAGTACAGGCAAAGCTATAGAATTTCCATGGCTGACTAACTCTGTTTCAGTTGGTGCTTTGGTTTGTTTGTTGAAGTGCTTGCGCTCTGTTTGAATGCGACACTTGTTGGAATGGAAATATATTGTCTATTTTAATCTGAGAATAATAAGTCTCCATTTATTAAAAAGCAAACGTTGAATGTCATAGATAACACATACGTTATGCACAATACTCGGCTTTTTACATTACTGCTTTATACATTTCTCATGCAGATTTCTACTTTCCTAGATAGTGAGATTCAGTTAAATGTCCATATTTTTTGTCACAAAGTAAAAAGATGATTCCTATTTAACAGTTTGTGAATTCCTGCTTCTCTCTTATTTCCCCTCCAGGAGATGTTACATTTTCCTATGGCGAACAAAGCAAAGTAATTTTATTTCATATTATTCCAAGTCTAACTACACATGAGGCATTTGCTATTCATCTCTCAGCAGCACACAGCAACGTGTCGGGTGGGGCTCGCCTGAGGTGAGGGTATTGCTCAGTGTCTTTGTTGGTTGCATGGACCTCAGAGGCAGTAAAAATTATGATTTGCTTACAAACATTTAGTTTGTAATAAGTCCTGTCAATTGAAGACAAAGAAAAAATCAGTTATATAAGGATGTGGTAACTGTTTTGGAGAACTGAATTTGGTGAATTTTGATTGTTTTGGACATGGTCTGTATAGGTCAAAGCAGCACCATGCTGAGATATGCTACATAGTTTCTAGGGTTGGAAGGGACCTGAACAGATCATCAAATCTGACCCCTCGCCCTGGGCAGGAACAAGTGCTGGGATCATAATACCCTAGCCAGATATCTATCCAACCTCCTCTTGAAGACCCACAAGGTAGGGGAGAGCACCACCTCCCTTGGGAGCCCATTCCAGAGCCTGGCAGCCCTAACTCTAAAGTAATGCCTCCTGATATCGAGCCTGAACCCCTTTCAATGAATCCATGGCCGTTATTTCTTGTTATACCAGGTGGTGCCTGGGTGGGAAAAAAAAACTCTTTTCCTGCCATGACTTGGATTCAAACCAAGGTTGCTGCAGCCACAACACAGAGTACTAACCAGTATACAATAACAGCAAGCCACTAGAAAAGCTATACATGCTTTGCCTGTTTTAGCTTCTAAATCAGACGTACAATAGTGTATTAATGCTTAAGAGCATGAGTGTTTCTGGTAGGCTGGTGCTACTCTGATGTGGTTACTCTACATCAGGTTTGGGACCTAGCATGCCTGAGATGGGCTTAGCATATCTCAGCATAATGCTGCCTTGCACCATATATTATCATTCTGTACCAAAGGAAACGATTAGCAGGGCTTGTCTGATCAAGTTAGGGGAGCCTTGCAATGCTAATTCTATTCAACACCAGTAGGGCATGGGGTATACTAGGGGAATGTCTCTAGAACTAGTGTGTGTGGTAGTAGTTAAGAGAATAGAGGGTCCAAGATTTCCTGAGAAACTATAATAGAGAAGGCCACTATAGAGAAAAATATATCAAATAGGTTTGATTCCCTAGACAACATCAGCTACCACTACAGAGCTGTCCTTCTGTGCTCTTTGAGCTTCTTCTCCATACCATGCAGGACTGGAACATGAGCATCAAATCCTACACTAGTACAGATGGATCCCTTCAATCCGTGGCAGGTCTGGTAAAGTTTAGATAGTGTGGCCATTTCTTTCAGGTTACATTGTTAATGCATGTCCTTTCACCATGTGGAGGAAGAACCACCTTAGTCTTGTGCTTAGGCTTACTTGGAGAATTAAAACACTAGAAACTACCCTACTCCACAATGAACACTGCTTAGTATTTTGACAAAGCATATGTTCATTTCTTTTGAATGAACCCCAACCCCAACCCCAACCAGGTGCTCTGGAAGTCAAACAATTCTCTGTGTAAAATAAATTTTACCTTGAGGGGAAAGCTTTCCTGAACTCCTTAAAGTCCCCCAAAATGCTAGAAAATTCAGTCTTATATAATCAAGAAAAACAAGGTGTGTATAGATGAAACAGGGGCCCTAAATTGAAGTGGTGGGTTTTTAAAAACACTGCTTCAATTTAGGGCTAATTAAACCCCTGTGTTCTGCACACACCCAATTTACCTGCCTCTCCGGCGATGGGGAGGGGCGAGCGAGCTGCTGGCGGGTGGAGCAGTCCCTAGACTGGGGGGGGAGGAGGACTGGTGTTTCCCTCCATGGCAGCGGTGGCCCCCCTAGGTGTCACCTGCCCACGAGCACCCAGCTCAGGCTGTCCCCAGGGGCACTGCAGCTGTTGAGAGAAACACCAAACCTCCACGTAGTACAGGCAGGCAGGCTCCAGGGGACTGGGGGGGTGGAGATCAGGCTCATGGCTTTTCTTGGGTGGAGCCTGCCTTCCCAGGCTGCTGCCAGGCTGCCTTCAGTGCTTTCTGCAGAGCCATGGAGCTGCACGGAGCCCAGTGCTTTGCTTCGCTCTATGGCTGTAGGGGCAGCAAACTAAAACTCCTCTGAGGAGTCTTAGTTTGCTGCACCCCTCGTCATTTAAGGCACGTTATGCCGCTCAATTTCCTACAGCAGCTGGAATTAATATGTGATACACCACTGAGGCATGCAAACACCGACACTGTTAAAGTGGTGCAAACACATGCCCTTTGTTTTGTCTACACATGGCCACAGGTCACAGGATTGGTAGCTGCTGCCTAGATCTCTGTTGACATGGCATCCAGGCCTGAAGAGAGTCTGTAAGTGCCACCGAATAAGGTGCAGCAGAGGCATAGTTAACAAGTTTTAAGTCTGACCCAGACAGAAGTCAGTACTAATTAAAATAACTATTTTAACTAGTAATATTTGAAAGGTTTTGCAGTAAATATCTGAGCTCCTCGCTGGGTTTTCCTCTATCGATATACTTACATAAAATTCACAGAACTCTCATTTTTCTTTACATTTGCTAATTAAGCTAGTCTAAGGCTGTCTTTGTGTGCATATGTGCCTTACCCTGCAGGAGTCTCACCAAGAAAGCATAATGTTTTGCACAAAAAAATACCTCTGTCTTTTACCCTGTCTCCTGTCTCAACATTTGTTTCTTTTTTGCCTCAGCTTGTAATCTAGACTAAATGACTAGTGCCAGGGCACTCTACAGAAAACTTCTTTTTCTTTCTCCATCATACTGTCATTATCTTGTCCTCTCAGATTCTTACTTCTCCAAGTACTTTGGATATTCTCAGTAAGATAGCATTTTTCATCCAACTTTTAAAGCCATAAATGATTTCCCAGGATTCAGTGCAGTGCAAAGTCAGATGATCATTTGTGTGATGGAGACTAGGTTCCTCTATTCAATTTTGTTGTTTTTGTTTTTAGATGGGGATTCACTGTAGCTGAAATTGAGCCAATGGGTGTCTTCCAGTTTTCCTCTAACTCAAGATATCTTTCTGTTGAAGAAGATACACAGGCGATCAAATTACATGTTCAAAGACTGTTTGGTTTTCAAAGCAACCTAACAAAAGTGACTTACCAAACTACTGCAGGAAGTGCCAAACCTCCTGAAGACTTTGTACCTGTTCCAAGTGGAGAAGTTGTGTTTGGACGTTTTCAGGCAGAGGCTGTATTTGAAATAATGATCATTGATGATACAATTTCAGAGAAAGATGAGGACTTTTTTGTAAATTTGACTTCAGTGGAAGCTTTGGACATTCAGCAATTTCATCATAATTGGAAGCCCCGTTTAAATCCAGATTTTAGTGTCGCAACAATTACTATATTGGCTAATGATATTGTTCAAGGAATCCTCAGTTTGGGGCCAGGGGTTATTTATACTGAAGAAGACACAAACAACAGTACACCTAATACAGTGATACTTCACATCAGAAGGACCCAGGGACTTGCTGGGGATATCAAAGTAACTGTTAAAACCTTTGGAGAAAAAAGTGCACATAGTGGGATAGATACATTTCCTTATGAGCATGTCTATGGAAAGTCAAATCTTACATGGGCAACTGAAGGAATAGACTTTGAAGAGCAGACTGTGGATCTGACGTTGCTGGATGGAGAAGGAGAAAGCAAAGTGTCCATCAGAATTCTTGATGATGATGAGCCTGAAGGGCAGGAATTCTTCTATGTTTTCCTTTCTAACCCTCAAGGTGGAGCTCAAATTGTAGAAGGAAAGGATGAATATGGGTTTGCTGCATTTGCAACAATAATTATCAAAGGTAGTATTGTTTCCAGAGGTTCAATAAATAAATAAAAAGTAATTTAACATAGAATCATCTGGCCAACTTGAAGTTCCTCCAGAAATTTAAATGTTAATGTTGGAATTTCTTTGGGTGGCTGGCTCCCAAATTTCAGCATTTGCAGACAGGTGGAGCGAATCCTTATGCCTGAGCACTGCTAGCCACACTCCATCTTGTTCCTCATGGTAACAAGCTATCTTCCAGAAGTCAAACTCTATCGTGTATTGTCTGTACTCTTTCCTTGTGTGTGTGTTTAATTTGACCCAACAGCAGGTTCTGGTTTAAATTGCATACACCATGCCTGCAGAATTGAGAAGGGGACTTTGCCTATTTCTGTTGGCCCAATCTCTTCCCTAGTGGCTTCTGCAAGTAGAATCTGTCCTACCTGTATTCCCCACTTCTGCGCATCACCGTTCTAGGTCTCCCTGATTTGGTTCCTCCTCTGTCTCTGGAAAAGGAGAAGAACATACAGGTTATGATGATTATTGTGGATTAAATTAGACAGCTGGCTAAGAGCATGGGCATAGGAAGGCATTTGTTCCAATTGTAAGAATTTCCTGGAAATTGTGAGCACTAGAAAAATAAGGGCATACAGGTATTCTAACTCCTCAGCTGGAGAGCTACACAGATGCCTCAAAGGTGAGCTCTCTATCCAAATGCAACTGAAGAGCTGCTCCTTGAGTCCCCCTATAGTTAGGGGAGCCTGATGATTGACAGCCTGCCCTGTCCCTGGCCACGGAAAGGGGCAGACTGTCAGTGAGCAGTTGGCAGCTACTCAAAAGCAGCAGCTGCCAAGGATAGTCCCCCCTGCCCTACCATGCAGGGATGGCAGGGGGAGGAGAACGTCTCTTTTCACTTTCTCTTCCCCCCCCACCCCCACCCCCTGGATATTCTCCAGGCCCCTTGACCAGTCTTGCAGAGTCCTGGGACTTTGAAAGGGATGTTAGAAGCTGAGCTGCTCTTTGAACAACACCAGCTCTCCCCAGTATTGTTCAATTGGTAATGGGACGTCATACTGACATTTGGACAGCACTAGTACTTCCTGCTCCTGTTCAACAGATGACAAGCAGCCAAGCCCCCATTTAAACCAGGGGTGGGCAAAATGTGACAGGTGGGCTGGATGTGGCCCACTAGACCATTCTATCCAGCCTGCAGGGCCCCTAAAAAATTTAGAAAATTAATATTTATCTGCCCTTGGCTGCCTGTCATGCAGCCCTCGATGGCTTTCCAAAACTCAGTAAGCAGCCCTCTGCCTGAAATAATTACCCGCCCCTGCCTTAGAGGCAATGGGTTGTAAATGCAGCAACCCAAAAAGGCATGGAAGTGCTAGCTGTAGGGTAGTGATTCAGGGTGGAAGCGCTAGCTGTTTTCCACTGCAAGCTGCTTGAATGGCTGTGCATTTGCATTTTGTGCCAGAAAAAGCCTGTCCGCAGCCTAAGTATTTTTTTCTTTCACTGACTTCATCTTAATACAATAGGTTGAAACCAGAGCACTGATTTCCTTTTTCTAACTAACTGTCATAACCTTTTCCCATATAGTTTCTGTATATGAATTTTTAGGACAAGTTTTTATCGACATTTTAAAAATAATTTTTAAACTCCTAATGGTCGGCCCCATTCTGGAAATTTAATCCAAACAGCTACTTTTAATAATGCTAAATGGGCATCAGGTACAAGAGCCAAATTCTCTCTAGGGAAGTATGTGTGACTACCAGAATTACCTATCCAAGAACAGACTGTTAAAATGTGTGTGTAACTATGTACATACTAAATTAGATTGATCTAACTGGCCAGGTGTGCTGATGTTTAGAGGGCTAAAATGGCTTTAGAAGTGGTGCACCTGACCTAAGTTTAGCTCATCTCAGGAGGTGAACTAACTTTAGGCTGACTTGGTTCACCTGATCTAAAATGGGTTAACCTGATCTAGTCAATGCCTATGCATGTTCACAGCACAGCTCTGAGGCTGAGAAAGCACAGCCATTTGTTCAGCTCCGGGACTGTGCTGTTCCTATGCAGCCCCACCCTGGCCATGCTGTTTTCAGCCCCCCAACTGCCCTGCTAGATGGGGCAACCTCCTGCTTGAACTTACCAACCTCTGACCCCTTGATGCACTACCCTACTCCTTCTGGCCATCCAGTCTTTCCCTATTCCTGAGTTACTTAACTCAGGCTGCCTTTGCTGCTTCCACCACTGGTGACCACCCGCATGTGCTGCTTCTGATTTAGGTTTACGTAGTTTAAAGCAAGCCATCTAAACCTACGCTGGGTTCTTGGAGTGTTTGTTCACATCCTAGAGCTACATATAAAAATTGCTGTTTGTATGCCAGACACCTGACCAGAAACCCCCTTTGAAAAGATTTCTTTACCATTAAAAGGAAATCTTCAAAATTTATATTTAAGACCTATATACATTTATATTTAATTACATATTAGCTTCCAGAATTTTTATTTTGTTAAGGCTTTGAAGAAAACTTCTGTGGGTGCAGCCTTCACAGCCTTTGAAAATTTGGCTATTTGGTTGTTTAATATCCTGTCTCCTTCATGTGGTTTTCATTTTGAAGCAGTATTTTCTGCATTAAAAAATTACAGCTCATTCTCCACTTCATTATTTTCTTAATCTTTTTGATTAATGGTTTCTCACACAGGAAATGATCTTCAAAATGGCATTTTGGGATTCAGCCCGGAGGTACAAAGTGGCCTTGTGCTTGATGAAGATTCTGAAAGCAGAGAGGTGCAGCTCATTGTCACAAGGCAACCAAACAGGTGCAGGCAACGGCTGATACAAGTGCTGTCCCCACATGCTGTAATGTGCTGTGTTGAAATCAAGGATGCTGCTGTTAGCAGAAGAGGTTATCATGGAATTTTATAATAAATCTTTGACATTTAGCTGCTCAAATACTATTTTTTTTCTGAATGGGCAAACTTGCTTCATAAATGTAAAGTGTGGTTAAGTCCGGCAGTGTACCAGTACTAAACAGAAAATAGAGAATTCAATCTTTCCCTAACTTAGATGAGAGGAAAATTAATTTCCTTTGTATTTATGAATACTTACAGTTAATTGCTTACCTTGTTCAAAGTATGTCTAAAATGCTAATTTCCTTGGCTGCTTATACAGTAGGTGTAAGCACTAAGAAGTATATTTAATGAGATGAATATGTGTCAGTATATATTTATGGATTTCCATACATTTTGTGTATGCAAGTTTTATATTATACAGATGTGTGTGTACACACTGACAAAAGCACCCAAAAGGAGACTAGGTGATTTTTCAACTTTTAGGAAAGCCAGTTTTTGCTCCCAAATGCTTAAGTACTAACTTTTGAACAATGAGAAATCCCATATGCTTTAGTTAAGCCTGGGTTTGTATAATTTGCTAAATCCAGCAGGTTCCCAACAACTGAGTGATTTGGTCCTTCCTTCTCTGACTCTTATTAATGTAGTCAGTTTTAGAGGCAGTAATTTTCAGAAGAAATATTTTTCACTTGTTGTAAGCATTTTATTTTCCATTTTGTTTCCCAGTTTAGGTTATGGTTTTTAGTGCAAAAAAGAAATGTATCTGGGTAATTTAGTTTTGCCAAAACAGTAGATGTCACCTTCAACACATTTATACTAGTTTGCTTTGTTCATAGGGCCTTCGAAGATGTGAAGATTTTCTGGCGTGTGACCTTTAATAAAACAACTGTTGTCCTTATGAAGGATGAAGTAAACCTGGCAAATGAATTGGTAGCTGTGGTAGGGACAACCACCTGCATTACAGGTCAAACTACATGCAGTATCTCCATTAAAATAAAGCCTGATAATGTAAGTAGTCGTTATAAAGTGATTTGGTTTTGCATGATGATTTACAGAGTTAAAAATGGTTCCTGGTATGAAATTTAATACAGAGACTTTTTGCAAACTCCTATTTACTTAATTGAGAGTTTTAATCATAGTTGTGATTAGGTCACTACTGTTCTAGTGCTAAGAATTTCACAGAAAAGAGATGCATGGGGTGGGAAGCTGAGGCAGTGCATCTGGACCCATCCTACAGTGGGAGTTTCTGATCTGGGCAGATGTCTTGGTAACCTGCATCTTTTCAGGGACTAGAGAGGATTGGCACCCAGGCAGGGTCCTCACAGGACTCCCTGAAAGCTCACTGCTGGGAAGGTTATCAGGGAGCCAGGTGCTCTCTCCCTTCCCTCTACGTTGGAGGGATGAAGGAAGAGCAGAGGACAGTGAGATACTAGGTGACTGCCTTTACAAAACAAGGCACACATTATATTCTGGGGTGTGTTGTATGAAAAAAAATACAGCAGGTTGCTATCATTTCAGTGAAATCTGTATTCATTAAGATGAGCTATTCCACATTGTAGCCAGGGTTACCAACTGAAAATGTATAGATTCTCCAGGCTAAAAATGTCTGTCTATAAATTCCATAAAAACCTTTGTAGTCCATAAGAACATGAAGCAAAAGTAGCTCCACAAAAACAGGGTTGATTAAAGCTGCATGCTCAGAAAAGAAGCTGTGCAGCTCTCTGCAGTGTTGTAGCACAGATGGGGCACAGCAGCACCACCTGGTGTCTGAGCCAGAGCACAGCCTCCTGAAGGTAGCTCTTCTCAGGGCTTTGTGGCTCCTTCCCTAACCCCCAGGCATATGCTGGTGCTGCCTCCCATTTGCCTGTAATGCCACTAGGTGGCAGGCACTGGTCCTTCTTTGGCTGTGTATGCTGGGACTGGGGGAGTGGGGCTGGTGGGGTATGCTGGTGGAGCTGCATTGTGCAGGGTGCAGTCAGGAGTACCAGCATGTGGGGGTAATTAAGGGACTTCTGGGGTGGGGGCAGTACAGTGTAAAACCATTGCTGTAGTTAAGTTGGGTTGCCAATCCAAGAATTATTTTTTAAATATTTTTTTTAATGATAATCCACACTTTTTTTTTTTTTTTTACTGCCAACTAGTTTTTTCATTATGCTTTGAACCCAGCT